ATATATATATACATGTCAACCGACGACTATTTACATTTTATTAAAGCGTCACTTGCAAAATATGATCTTGTATTGAAACTGAAAGCATTTTCTACATTTCACGAAAGCGTTATTTATAAACAATAAGTTGAATTTAAAACGAAACGACAGAAATCTTTTTCGCTTAGTTTAGTTTTTTCATGATAGATGCAAATAAATTAATGGGACTATTTGCAAACTAAATAGTTTTTAAAAATACTTATTCGTATATCATGAAGATTAAAGTCTCGTATAATGCTTAACTTATTCCTACTATGTTTTAATTTAAAAACAGAGGTGAAAAAAAATATCTTGAAATTTTTAGGTTCCTGAAATTAAAATGTTAGATTAAAATGTGAACAAGAAGTCAAAAAAGGAAGTATAAATATTAAAGTGTGAGTAGCGAAATCAACGCTTTTCAATAACTTACTTGCACAACGCTCTTTCCATTGCAACGACGTCAAATGGATTTGCACCAGGTTTTTGGTACTCTGCAAAGTAATCAGCAAAGCATTCCTCACCAGGATCTGTAAACATCATTGAATCACAGTCTCCTTCTATATCTAAGTAAATAAAGAAATATTTCAAATTCAAAATATATATGACAAGTGGTCCATATTGAACTTTTGTTTCTTCTAATCAGTCATTTTGCAGCTTAAACGCAAGCATTTTTGTGACATAAAGTGTAAAATGTTACTCTAAACACAAGGGATTTAAAGCATGAATTAATTGTTAAGCTGAGTAATACAAAGTTAGGTCACTGTAATCAAAAGGGCTAATTGGGTTTGACCTTTGATGTTTCAAATATTTCAAATTTCTTGCTAAATGTGCAATTTTTGATTAAATTTTGAGTCGTGTTTTGTAACACGGTGTGAAATTTCACGTCGCAAAAAACCTCTCATGCAACAAGACCAACTAAAATGCTTTTGTTTGTGGATCAAAAATGCTTCAAAATTAGGCAAAGAACTCTAAATTTACACTCTTCTTCTACCTAAAAATAACTGTTTGCAAAAGAATATACTTGCATCAACTACAATAAATGGCTATTTAAAAATAATAATGACTGCGAGAAATAACAGTTGCAACTATACAATGTTAAACACAATGTTGCTATTGCAGAATGCTTAACATGATGTAGCTACTATGCAATGCAAAATACAATGTTGCTACTGTACTATATTAGTACGAAGGAATATTTATAATTACATTTCATACATTGTACTATTTTGCATTTTTAATAAAAATCAGCATTTACAGATTAAACTACATTATGAAACAATAGGTTATTGTATTAGTTTCGATTGGCTTATAAGCAACCTTACAATTAAAAAACAGCTCAATTTCCATTTTTTTTTTGCTTATTTAAGTCTGAGTATCGTACATTTCAGTATAAGAACTACAAAATTTTGGTGTTACACTTTTGTTTTCTTTACAATTAATGGATGGATGCTACGGATTATGATTGTGTTTATAAATTGTGTCCCACTGAAAAAAAGTCACTCGGATCTTGTGCAATAATTGGACGCAAAGAAATCCAATAAGAGCTAAACATAAATATTAGAAAATATTGTATCTGAACATATATTTACAAGGAATTTCTCACTTCCTGCTCCATCTAGGCGAAAGAAATTGAATATGTATTGAAAAAGTGGAAAATGGTGTTCCAGTGATGCAAAGCCAATCAGTGTTGATAGCCAATATATCTGCTATGTTTATATATGATTTGAAATATATTGAATTTAACATTTGAAATATTTAGATGAACTTGCACAAACTGAGCTTAGTTAATTTTTGCACCGAATTAAATAGCATTTTACTTTGTGTTAAGCCTAATTCCAGGAAGCCTCAATTCTAGCTCAATACCCATTCAACTCATGCCGTTTGTTGCCTCAATTATGCTTAAAAGTTATTCCGCTCTTATTAAAATGTTTTTCTAGCGTCCTCTTTAAAATCCTATCAACAACATGTTGTGCTTCAATTTAAATAGCACTAATGAATTGAAGAAACACAAATAACAAATTAACTTTAAGAATCATTTACGATCTTACAATATAAGAATATAGAAATATAGTACCTTTTAAATCATTACTGCATACTGCACTCAAATTGTCATGATATTTCCTGGCTGTATCAGCAAATCCTGTTTTGCATTCTTCAGCTGCTTGTATCTGATATTTTGCTATTTTGGGTTCATGTCTATAAATGAAAAGTGAAAGCAATATTACTTTCTGATGAATCAGTTTAAATTACTCCATTTTAATAAAATATTTCTTTCAGTGGAAAAATATACAGGTGCTAGTAATCATCAAGATATTTTGTGACACAAAAAAAATTTTACATTTGCACTTACGTTATACTTTTAAATATTTTTTTTTTGCCTGCCGATACGAAAACATTTTTGCACTTAAAAGTTTTATTGATTTTCTAGCACTTAACGAATTTTTTGATTTCAACCTACTAGCATAATCGTACTTGGTAGAAGTGGAAGAAGCTTGAAGGATCATCCCCAACCCACACTACTGGGATGAAGTGGAAGAGTTTGAGCAAACAGCTTTTAAATCTTAAAACAAATCTGCTAGCATGAATCGGTTAGTTAAAATTGCAGACATAAAATTTTGAAAAGATTGGAGAAGTGTAAATATCTTGGAAAAAGGTATACCTAAAATGCTTCTAATAAAGCTTATCGACGGCTTGAAAATTCTTTGGCTATTACATAGTTAAAAACACTACTTTACGTTTGATGAAAAAAAATTCTCTTAACTTAATACCAATACTAATTCGATAGAATGTATTGCAGTGCAATTCACCGTTTTCCGTAGAAAACGTTACATAGTTCTGCAATATGAAAAGCAATCAGTAGTATACAACTGGTTACACAGCACTGCAGTTTTAGTGAACGAAAAAAGTTTCAGATTAGCATCTTATTAGACCATATTATGGTTCTAGTTACTGACATTATGGCCAAGTCAGGGGAAGAATTTTAAGTTGACCAGTGGTTTTTGAGAATCTCTTAAACGTATTTTCGAGTTAATTGTTATCGAAGTTTAACTTGAGTGTACTTACTGCTTTTCTTTTTGATAGTTATGTATTTTCAAGAAGCCTAATTTTAAAATCTTATGATTAAAGATATATGATAGAAATCAGGAGCATAGATCAACTAATCTTAATTAATATTAACTCTAATAAATATTAACTTTAAGTTGGAAAAGTATGAAGAGGAAAGTTTTCAAAGGAAAAATGTATAGAAATTTGTGTTCTGATTTAAATTGTCCTTAGTTTGAACCAGAACTAGTACATTGAAATGTAATATCATGGAAAATGTTCTAATGATAATGTATACCTACTTTTGTATCATTAAAGGTGGTCAGACATGACTTTAAGGGACTTAATTTTTTCATCAGCTACAATTTTGGTAAATACTAGTTGTAAATAATATTACGAGTAAGAATTTAATTACAATTTTAAGAAAAGACTTACTGGCACCAGCCTCCACTATAATCAGCGTTCCATTTATATTGGAACACTTTATCCAGATAGCAATAATAGGGGGACAAATAGTCAACGTCTTCATCTTCTTGAGAATAAGCCAAGCCAATTACGACTAAAAGAAAACAATAAATATAAGCTATATATATCTATATATATATATATATATATATATATATACATTCCAAATTATTGGATTGAAGACGGTGCATCAAAAATGAATATAAGTGACGCTTACTGTACAGGCATTTGGGGACAGTGTAAATCTCAAATAGTAAAATTTAAAATTTAAACTTAAATTTGGTCACAAAGTGATTGGAAAGTTATTGCAAGAAAGTTTAGCTTTGAAATTTTCCCCTTTCAACGTAAAGTTGGTTTTTTTGTTACGTGTTTCTTTTTAAAAATCTAATTATTTGAAAAATAATTCATCAGAACACTCTGACACTACACTAAAAGTCTGATAATTTCAAAAATAATACATCAGAGCACCCTGACACTACACTGTAAGTGTGATAATTTGAAAAATAATACGTCAGAGCACCCTGACACTACACTTAAAGTCTGATAATTTGAAGAATAATACATCAGAGCACCCTGACACTACACTAAACGTCTGATAATTTGAGAAATAATACGTCAGAAACCCCCTGACACTACACTAAAAGTCTGATAATTTGAGAAATAATACGTCAGAGCACCCTGACACTACACTAAAAGTCTGATAATTTGAAAAATAATGCATCAGAAACCCCCTGACACTACACTAAAAGTCTGATAATTTGAAAAATAATACGTCAGAGCACCCTGACACTACACTGAAAGTCTTATAATTTGAAAAATAATTCATCAGAGCACCTGGCACACGGCAACTGAAGTAGCTCTGTAGACTGAGTACCTTGAATAAATTAAAAATAGGTTAGCAATAGTTGAGCTATTGGATCCAATTGACGTACTATGTGCCCTCAAAGTGGAGATAGCACTTTAAATAAAATATTTGCAGTCCTACCTCCACTATTGGTAAAAGTCCTGCAATCCTACTGAAATTTCAATTAAAAGAACTATTCATTGCTCTGAAATTAGGAAACTATCCATGGGTTTGGGAGGTACAAAAAGGTGTTGAGGTGATAGAAAGGCTTAAAATCTGTAATAATATCGCTTCTATAAGCACCTTTGCTTTTTCTAATCATTTGACCGCCTTGGCTCTTGAACTTTCATTGTTAGCAATTTCTAACTCTGTTCAGTTTGCCACTGCACAAATTAAATTTTGAATTGATGAATTTCTAGCTCTTTTAAAAAGTTCTAGCTCTTCTGTATTTTTACTTCCACAAATTAATGGTATTTCCATGGGAGCTAGTTTTAGTTCAACTATGGATAACCTATGAAAAATAACTATATAACGAGATAAATTACAATTTCTTATCTTGCAGATAACATTTCTGCATTATTTTTTTTGAGTTTCAAAGTTTACACATAACACAATGATGAGAATATTAAAATGATATACTGAATAGTGACATACTAATTTTCTAAATACATAATCTTCATTCATTTTAAGTAAATATATTTAGAAATATTAGTATCCAATTTCTCCTTTAAACTAACTTTACTGATTCAATATTAGAAATATGTATTGAACACTAAATATATCCAAAAGGAATAAAATATTAATATTTCTATTTCAATTAACAATTTCTATTAACAATTTCGAAATAAAAATATTTAATAATATTTTCTTCCTAGATACAGTCTTTAATAACACCATCTTTAATACGTAAAAATTAAAATGTATTCAAAACCAAATAAACATAATGAGTGAAGACATTATACATACGGCATAAAACTAATCCAGAGAACCACTTCATGATGTCTGTGTTGCAGTGACTGTGTAAAGAATTGAATTTTTGCTGAGATTTTTAAGGTAATTTAAAGCGAAAACTGACAGCTGTTAAGAAAAGATATTATTCATATCGTTGCTCTGATAGTAATAATGACCTTGAATCTGCCAGGAAAAGGGCATTCACTTCCGTAGTAGTAAACACGTAATGTAAAATAAATAAAACACAATAAAAGCGATAAAAAATTTATTACTATGTCATTACGGGTGAATGACGAGTGTTTCCTGGGAGCGAAATCTTTTAAATGTTAAATCAGTAGTTGCGGGCATATACTCAATAATTCATTAACTTTTTTTTTCACTTTATTTTTCCTCCTCTTCTTGACTTTCACGAACTACTAATTTCATAAATTACACAGAAATGAGACTTCAAAAGTACTTTTTTCAGTACCATGAGATATTTTTTTTTAAATTTTAAAGACATTCTTTTTAACATGAGAGAAAAAATACGAGACCAACAGAATTGAAGTAACGTACCTACCATTTAAAAACACGTACCAATAACCTGACTGTATTCACTTCCGACACTGACCACAAAAAATTTTACTATCTTTATTGTAAAAATAAAATATATCAAAGATTAAAGAAACAAATTTTCTTATTATTTACTGAAATTTCATTTTAGTCCAGTAATTATAGCAAAAAAAATGATGCTTTTGTGGAAAAATTAATTACCAGGGTATTTTTAAACAGAAGGTTTTGTTACTTCATAATTTACGTTGTTATACGCTCTCAATTTCATGTTTTATATTTCAGACAGCTTTCGTTTCTTGTCATTCACGTCTGGCAAGTCTTGAAAATGGATGCCTGTTTTTGAGGGTTCGAAGCATGCAGCTTTATTTTAATTTGTATATTTTTGAAGCGAATGAAATTTTAAAAAAAATAGTATCTTGTTATATTTTTGGGTGCAACATGACCTTATAGCCATTTTTAGATCACTTTTTAAATCGATAAGAATTCCATCTATGTAGACCACGTGGAAGATCCTAAAAGATCTAATTGCAGATTCTGTTAAATTTTCTTGCACTTAAACCATGTAACACTTCTCTCTATATTTAGTTGAATGATTTCAGCGGAACAAAACTCGAATCTGTGATTAGAATTCCAACTATGTAAAGCGATGGAAAATTCTTATACCAGGGTTTGACTATTTTCCTGAGAAAATCGTAAACTTTGCTCTTCACCCACTGAACTTGATTTTCGGGAGTCATTCCATATTTTGAAAATTCTAATGAGTTAGTTAATGATCTTTCGAGTGATCAACCGTTTCCTAATATTTGGTACTCTGTTCAAATTTAATCTGTTGCACCCTGGGACTCCCGCAAAATCCACTCAGTCATGTTTCTGATCTCCTTTTTTCATTATCGTGCTGTTCCCCAGTTCCTAATGTTTAAACCACCTTTCCCGTATTTGCCTCTTTACTTTTGTAATTTCATTTGGTGTTTAGACACTGAGGAGTATTTTTGTTAATAGAACCGAAACTGTACTTTTCTCGTAAAAACCATCTCTGAACTTTTATTTGTACTTTATTCATGTTGCTTTGTGCTAAAACAAAAAATATAAAGCAAAATGTATTTTTTGCTTCAGTCTACATAGCACAAAGTATACCCTGTCTTTTACAGTGGATTCGGAAACGAAGTTGCTGACTTGAGGAAGCTGCTGGGGAAGGTAGCGAACTGCCTACTGCCCTTTCCACCAAACTAAGAACTTTTGTGGTCCACTTCCAGTTTTTGGCTAATATAAACACCTCTTGGAGGATCCCTCCCGAACATGCCTGGTATGCCTCTGAGTCTTCTGGACTGTCATTGCAGTGATCCTGTCCAAGACTTAGGGTCTACCCAAGTCAAAACTCTTGACGGTTTCATCACAAAATTTGATGGTTTATGTTGGTTTCAGAGTGATTGATGGTCCAACATCATTTGATGGTGACCATCACCCAACATTTTCCATTATATGTTCATGGTTTATGATATACCAACAAACTTCCATCATTCCATGATGGAAATGCTACTTTAATACTATGATGGTCAGCTATAAAGAGGAATAGATGGTTAACCATCTTCTCATGAACCAACAACAGATGATGATTCGTGGTGGTTTGTTGGTTCCCAGGAATATACCATCAAAACATATTTTTTTTAATGACTGATCTACGATGGTCCAGTTGGACCATCGTAAATCTGTCCGAATTCTCACATTGGGATGATGGTTGTTCATGATTGTTCCAACATTTTATTTCTAAGAAACTATGATTAAAATTTCTGATGGTTCAACATTTACAAACCATCAAAACAAGTTTCTATTCTTATGTTGGACCGTCATAAATCCGTTTGAATTCCTATATAGAGATGATGGTTACTTGTGTTGGTTACCATCAAAAAATATTACGGTTCATGATGGAATTATTGATAATTATCAACAAGATTATATTAGTCCATCAATAGAAAAATATCAAAAATTTTGATTTGGATAAGATTTAGATTACCATCTAAACCACGGGTTTCCAACTTACATGAGGCCGGGGGACACAATTAAAAACACAAATCAAAAGGCTGGCCGCAACTTTATCAAAAATTTTTGTAGGATTCTTTTTTTTGTTTGAAGAAACATTAAATATTACTGTCAGAGTTTCGCCAAGTTGTACAAAACAAAGTGTTGAATTACAAATTAAAATAAGAAGTAGATTTTTGAAAATATTTAATTGTTATTAATAATAATTTTAAAGACATTAATAAATAATAAAAATTCGAGCTACAATAACTTTTATGTGCACCTATGTATTAAACAATTAATGTGCAACAGATATCTAATTGTTAAGGTATTAAAACTTACATAAAAGCACACAAAATATTCAATCAGAAAATTGAGGTTTGTCTGCTGCAACCACCCAGGGCTAAAGAGAATAGAAGGGCTGGTTCATTCCTTTGAAGTATCTCTTGCCGCGCCGATCCTCCGACGTCACTCTAGTGACGTCACTTTGGCGCAAAGCTCGCACTTTTACTTCAAGAACGGAGCGTTTGGCCTTACTAGCTCTAACTAATATTGGATCATTTCTTTTTGCGAGATATTCTAAGACATTTGTTATTTCCTATAATGACTTTCCTCAGTTTTTGCAGTGAATTTACAAGAATTTAAAACTATTATCTAAATGCCAGTTTGCGCGGTTGCTACTTGCAAAAATTCTGATATAAAGACAAAAGGAAAAAGTATAATTTTTCTCGTGTTCCCTAAAGTAAATGAACAACTATGTAAAGAATGGATTCCGAAATGACACAGTTAATATAAGACCGCATTACGTTTATTCTGTCGTAAAGAACTTTTATAAAAATTCACTATCTAAATAGAAACCGCCTCGCTACTTCATAAAGAAAGGCAGGTGAAAAGAATTAAAAAATAGATAAAGTCAAAGAAAATTAAAATGTAAGNGTATTAAAGTCATTATCAATTTACCGCCGATATAAACTTTAACGTTTGTTTCGTTCTCTCTACTTTTATTAATAAAAAAAATATATATTGGACATCCATTTAATAAAAATGAATGTTTCTTTTTATCTTTTAGGTTAAGAGCGATCGTAGCTTCAGCTCTAAGAGCGGAGTGAACTAGCCCTTGTATTCTCTTTAGCCCTGGCAACCACCAGAGAATAGAAATTTGCAATTTAAAATTTACAAATGTGTGTGTAAATATTTTCGTCCAAAATGAGTGATTTCAAAAAGTTAAATCGAAGAATTTCTTCGAGAAAATTTTTGATATGCACACGCTAAATTATATTCACAAAATAAAAAAAAAAAAAAAAAAAAAAAAAAAAAACAAAAAAAAAAAAANTAAAAAAGAACAACATAGACGATTATTTTTGAATAACCTGAAAAAACCTGAGAAATAATTTTTTTTTGCACCCTTGGTATGATATATTTCACAGAAACGAAGAAATTAAATTTTTATAAACGAGAAAAGTATTTTAAACCCATATAGATTTTTTACGAAAATTGTCCGCAAAAAATGACAACTAATATATTTTAGTTCGCGGGCCGCCAGTTAGAAACCCCTGATCTAGACTCAGGACTGATCACATTAAGAGTCTAATTTTTAACGGAAATCAGACGACTTATGCTATTATGCCGTCTCTTCTCCCTCATCTTAGATTGTATTGGTGCCTATGTGGGGCAGTTGTTAAATGAGGGGGATGCTGTTTTTGGATTTAATTGTGCGACATGATCTCTTGGACCTCTCTAGTTTGTAGAAGCCAATGGGGATAAGCAACAACTTGCGATAACTTTTTTTAAGATGGTCGTCTTAAAAATAGTCAAAACTATATAGCAATACTTTTTTTAAAAAAAATTTGCTTATTGTCTTAGTTATTACTTTGTAATAAGATGATCGTTTTTCGGGGGTTGGACAAGAACCATTTTTTCCCCAAAATTCCTCTCCAATCAATACCTTCTAAATAATCTTCCCGTTGCTTACTACACTATACTTTTGCTTGTTCTTGTCTACGTGTCGACTGGAGCTGTTTTTCTCTAGCATGACCATCTTCAAGGTGTAATAACTCTCGGAGAAAACTGATTTTTCACCATTATTGATTTGCGAAAATTTAGTAATCATTAAAAGGCAGAAAGTGGAAAATCGATCCTGATTTTCGTGAAAAATGAACATAAATCGTTCTGCCTCCTTGATCTTCAGATGTTATATTTTTGTTTCTAAGGTAAAGTATTATATATTTTATAATTGTTGCGTATTTGTTTACTTGATTTTGCATCAGTTAAGGTGAAGGTTTGCAAATAATATTTGGACAACAATCTGACTAGCTATAGAACTCAAATCATAACTGAAACTTCGAGTCTGACCAAAAGCCAACTATAAATATGTTCAACCAATGGGTATTGAAACTTTACTCAAACCTTTGTAAGCATAATTAAATGTTTGAAAATTGTTACAATTAAAAATTGCGTTGATAATATATCAAATAATAATTTACTGATAAGAAATTGAAATGAATTACACATTGAAATTGAAAGTATAAATAAGCAACAGGTGAGATGAATTTTAGCATATTAATCTAAGTACATAACAAATAAAACTTTCTTCAATGGCAT